AAATAATTATATCCACTATGCACTGTCAAATTACAAGCCATATACATACTAAGAGTAATTTCACACAACGCGAACGGGGTGGTGATGTCCCGTAATTCTCCTCAAAGTTTTTGAAAAAACAAAAAACGTGAAAAAAGTAATTTACCACTTTAAATAAAACCTGTCTTCAGAAAGGACAACAAATGAATAACGCGTCCGGCACAGCTAATAGATATACTTCATTGGCAGCATATTCAGTAATGATTTTCTTACACAACAAATATCGCTGATCTTATAGATGGTAGAATAGTTATTTTATTTAAATCTCGCCTACTGTAAGAATATTACAAATAAGAGACGTTAATTATTATTATTATAACTATTATTATTATACACATGCAGATCAAGACACGTAATCATCCAGATGCAATCTTGCTATTCAACCAACTTTTTTCTCTGATATGAAGACTACAGACTACTCGACTTCACATATTGACGGGTGCAAGGAAGACTGTCGTAACTCACTTTTTATCGTTTTGAGTAAATAAGCTTATAGTTTTTCTTTCAATTTTAATTTTTCTGACATAAAGTAATTTGTGGTAATAAAAAAGACATAGGAAACTAATATTCTTAAAAAATATGTAAATTTAATTTCAACCAAAAAAAATTTTTTTTAGTCACGTCTGGAGTGACTTAGGCATTAGGCATTAGATACGACTTTTTTCTTGGGAAAAATTATGACTATTTTAAGTTACCATTCTTTTGGGCAAGTCACATTATTGACTTTTTTGAAGAAAAAAACTATTTTGACAAAATTTTAAAAAATGTATTGCTTTTTTGAATATGTTTAGGCAGTGTAAAAAATAACAAACCTACTAAGTTACAAAAAATTAATACTTAAAAATGCTAATCTTCAAATTCTTCTTCAGAGTCATTTTCATTATTATTCTGCTTCTTTGTTCTTAGGCTCCTATAAAAATCATGGTACATGGAAGGAATTTTACCCGTATTGCACAACCACAAGATGCCTCTTAGTTTTTTTTTCATCAATAGGTATATCTCCATTATATATTTTTGTTAGCCACTACGTTCTGGCCACGCGTTATATTTCTTTTTAGTTGTATAATATTATCACTGTCAGCATTAAATTCATATTTGAAAAACACGAAGTCCGGTTGTTCTGATTTAAATTCAATGTCTCTTATTTTGCTTATTTTTATGGTTCTCTTTGATTCATCTGTTTTCCAGTTTTGATTTTCTGTTAAGCTTTTAAAATTAAGAAAATGATCCTGTTCCATTTCAGTAACTATGTACGATTTTTCTGTAGTTTTTGCCATTCTAATAATCGTAACCCATTGGGCGGGCACATAAATCACAGGACACTTAGATCCAGCAGTTTTAATAACACTATGCATGCTATCTCCTTTTTTTTGGGTGTGCCCTTTTTCTAAAAAACGATGAATGATATTTAATCTAAAAGTTTTTGATGCATAGGAAAACATGGAAAATACAAATTTGTTTCGAATTTGCCCCCCGCAATTATCAGAGCAAAAAATGATTTGCCTAATATTTTTCGATTTCTAAACTTCTAGAAATTTTCAAAGACAACTTGCTATTTCAACAGAGCCCCTTTAAGCAATTCTCTCATGCCAGTAATAGCAATACCCTTCGTTATTGCCTAAGTCATATACAGTGAAATTATAAGTTGAATATTTGCTTTTATAATAAAAATCACTTACATCGGATTGTGTGGTTGATAATACTTTCTGCAAATCAAATGCTGCAACACAGATATCTTTATTTTCAACAGCTAGTTCTTTATCAGAATCCTTTAGATTTCTGGCCAAAACTTTATTCTTGATATGCTTATCATAGTCTTCTTTTAATTGTAACTTTCTTGTTTCATCAGCTAATTCATAAGCGGAACATTTGTCACATTGGTCTTTTTTTGCTTGAAAAATGCAATGTTAAATTCATTATTAAATATATCTCGATACTGTTGTTCAGATGCTTTTTCTATGATATTTTCTTCATCACAATATTATACAAACGATACATTTTTTTAACATTTAAGCCCGGTTCAAAATGCATTTTCTTAGTATCCTTACGGAGATAATGTGAAGGCACTACAGGAAACATTTTCTTCAACAAATCGTAGAATAAAATCCCATTGTCGCGTGTGATCTGCAATACCCCAAAGGTCCTCAAAAATATTTTGTGTATTTTCTTCAGTCATCTTATCTGCACACCTGAATCTACACTTACATGGCTCTTCTAATTTTCTTGCATTTATTTTTTTCCCTGCTCTATTTTTATGTTCTTTTCCTTGATCTAACATAGATTTTGCTTTATTATCCGCCCATTCTTCGGGTTTTCTTTGTCGCTTCCTGGAGTTTCTTTCTTTTTTATTCATAAATCGTTTACGTTTTTTAGTTGTTATATCTACCAAATCATTTTCATGTTCACTTTCAGTCATTGTCTTGTCATCATCTCTTAATTCAAAATTTGGATCCAACTCTGAATTATCCTCAAATGGATCTTCACCTTCTGAACTTGTAGAAAACTTGTAGTTCGGTGTGTTTGTTGCATCGTTCGAATCTAAAAAGTACAGTGAAATACCTACTTATTAACAGTATCAAATTATACATAATGTAACTAAATTTAACTTTAACAAAATAAGTTTCTGCTTGCAGGTGTGAGATACTATATTCTGGCAAGGCTGGTTCTCAGGCTGACCACGTTATATATTTTGGAAGAGCATTTCATTGCCAGCTGGGTAATTCTGAGACGTTGACCTTAGAAGTCCTAAGACAATAAATTTTTTATTGTAAGATAATATATTTATTCATTCTTTGGCACAATTCAAAATTTAAGGTGTAAAGTTGCTATACAAAGTAAAAAAATATCTTAAATCTTAAAGACATTCTCCCATTAAAACCATTATTTGAAATTAAAAACCATCGTTAAAGAGACAGAGTAACAGACAAGCAACGCTGCAAAAAAATTCAGTATGAGCAGGCAGCATAATCTAATGAAATAAGACAATAAACTCAAATAACAAAAAAGAAAAGACCCATATTATACTAAAAAATACTAACCTGGACTTTCTTTAAAAGCCTCCTTAGCTTTTTCCAAAATTAAGTTGGTCCTTTTCTTCATTTTTCATAAAAATTCACTTTAATGTCACAACCTGAACGGGTTAAAAATTAGAGGTTATGTCTGATTGTTTACATCTTAGACTTACGGTGTCACCATCTATTTTTTCCCGAGAAAACTGTAGTATCTTAAGTTAAGTTCTTCGCTGTAAATAACATAACATTTTGAGATACAACAAAACGAAAAAGAATTACTGGTTGCCTAGCCAATACCCGAATCAAGATAAGATTTTGTTCGAAGGAAGCCACATTATTTCTGCATTATTTTGTCATATTATCTCAAAATCGCCAAAAAGTGAGATACGACAGTCTTCGTTGCACCCTTCGATATGCGTGTAGTTGGGTCGTTCCTCCGTAGATTCACGCTCACAACGATCCTAGTGAGCAAACCCTAAAAACTGCCTAGTCTGCAAGATGACATTTTACAGGCTTTTTTGACGTTTTATAGATTTTTTACATAATACTCGTGCGGAAATCGAATGTGTAGAAAGCTGTCAACCGCTCGGAATCCTCCCTCTATTATTCATGCTTAAGAGGCGTTCTTCATGATATACCGCGTAGCATTCCGCCGGTTCCTTATCATTATCAATATTTTATCTCCGTCTTAGACTAATACGCCTGCAGCATGGGGTGAAGAAGGCCGGGATATTACTTTATCTATCTACTTAACCCTCACTCGTAAAATAACTCCCTCGCATATTTTACTGCCAATTTAGATGATTGGCAGCCAGGGTGAAAGTTCCTCCAGTTATGCCTCTAACAAAGTATGCCTTGATATCCGCTACGCCTCGTACCACATACCAGTACAAAATTAAATTTTGCGGATTTAGTTTTACGGGTATACTTTCCATGTTCGCATAATTTATATGCCTGAAAAAAGTTCCCAGTAGATGCATAAATATCGGTGTTAAGTACACGTCGACAGTGATACCACAAGTTGTTTGTTTAACGAAAAGGAAGGTGTTTTCGAGGGACGCTTGGTATAAAACCATTGAAAAAAACGATAAAGAAAACGCACGTATTTTGCTAAAGTATAAGGGCGTGTCTCAAATAGTACTCAGAAGTCGAGGTTTGGGAAGTGATTCACGCCGAAAATGCATGATGTACACAGACATTTTCAACAGTTTGTTTGAAACTTCGATTCTTACCACGTTTTTGGAGAAATAAGTGTTGCTTTGACGATATGTCAATCACGTTGTGTCTTAGAATGTGTAATGTGTTTAGCTCAGGGGGTATTCACTCTTATGGCGTGAATTGGAACAGTGTTTTTAGTTGGAGACCAATCTGTTGGATGCTGCTGGTATCGCTATTGTCATTTGTCGGAATTGGAAGCTGATATTTGACAGCTGTCAGTAACGTGGCGTGGCTTGTATTCCTCTCCTCCCCAGAGATAAACCCAATGATGATAAACCAGTTAGTTCTTTCCTTGCTGAGTTCTTGTGTATCTTGTGAATACGGATTATCGTTGTACATGCTTCCTTTTTTCTTTGTGTTTAATACTTTCATTTTTTGTTTATGTGTGGTGAAATTTGAGTGATTACGGCGCTTGTTTATTGCAGCATGTAAGTATAGTGATATAATCTAGTTTTATAGGCTAAGATGATGGGTACAAAACTTCAGGGCCGTCGACAAGAGAGGAGCTCGTGGCTCAGAAAGGGGGGTCCGGCGCTGAGGGGAGCCCGAGGCTGGCTTACTGAACTGAAGGACAGACGTCCTTAGGTTCGCTCATGTCAAGAAAAGGGCCCGAGAATATTTCGGCATGGGGGATTGAGAATTTTCCGGCAAAGCAGCCCGAGCTTATTTCTCAACGGTCCTGCTTATCTAAATATGTTGCTAAAATCAATTTTAATATTGTTTCATTACAGTATTACTACATTATTACAACTGCAAAAGTTAAATTTGATTTTGTTTATGTTGTCATGTCTTCTTAGAGCTTAGCGACATTTCTATTTCCTTGAGTCATTTAACTTGAACATATTTTGATACTGAATGTTGTTTTTCAGAAACCATGTCTCGGTACCGCAAATGTGCAGTTAGAGGCTGTCAGGACAGTGTTTTAGTATGGCATAGATTCCTGATCAACAAATATGCAACACGACTGATGAAATTCTTGGTATGTTGGTTTGTTTTATTTTTAGTATCACCCAATTTTACATATCTCAACTTCAATTACATATATTCAGCTTTTTGGAAACTGTTATAAGTAGTGACTTTCAACAGTGTTTAGTACAAGTGATTGATACTACATAACTACAGTCTGTTTATCGAAGGAAGAGTGAATCCAAACATATACATGCATATTTTACATGACTGGTGAGGCTACATGCATCTTCGTGTTGTCTCCTGCTCCACCTTCCTGGTTTGGCATTGGCAGACAACACAGTGCATGTAGCAAGTCACATAAAATATGTGTGAACATTGTTGGGTTTGGTGTCTTTCTTCAATAAACGAAGTATATAGTTAATATTTTCCATTTAAAACTCATTTCAGCTCATTGATGGTAATCATTTATATTTGGAATAAGTTAGACTGAGCTCCAGTTAACACTAGGAATGTTATAAGGTGAATATTTATACAGGGAAATTAGAGATAACATTATCTTAACTGCAAACATCTCATTGGTAGTTGTTTCAATCATTCCCAGAATGGGCTCCAAAACAGTTTATTGATGATATCACAGCAACTGTATGAAACATTATAAAATTGATCATGTATTTTTTTTTATAGTGTAAACGGTGTGGTTACAGGAAAACCATCAACTTCAGCATCATCACAACAGTTGGGAGAAGTTTGCTCAGTTACCACCTCACAACCAGAAAATCTTGATGTAACTACAGTAGAATCCATTGAGGAGCATTTTTCAGAAGCAGGTGAGTAAAGTAATTTTGCATGAATGCCTATTATACCAAGGGAAACACTGTTTTCAAAAAAAAGCAAATCTTAATAGAAGTTCTTCAAAATTGTGAAAGTTTGAAAAGAACATTGGTTTCTATACATAATAATACCTATTAATAATAATAATTTTTGTTTCAAATCGCAACAGCATAGTATAATCTTTAAACGAAGTTTGGTCAATTTTGACTATCAATCACTTGCATTTAGTTACAAATGGAACATTTTATTGAATTTATTGTCTTGTAAAAATACAGTTGTAATGGATTCTTAACATACATAATAATAATAATAATAATAATAATAATGATAATAATTCACTCAATGTACAAAGATAACAAACAATGTGAGTAAATAAATACAAAAGCAAAATAATAATATATAATACAATATCAATTTATTTCAAGGTTCCTCAAGGACAGAATCTGGATTATTGCATAAGGTACATGTAATTAGACAAACCCACTTAAGTCCAAAAGCTAAAAAGCTATATAAGATAGCCAGTCACTTCTCTAGAGCTAACAGAAGACTAGGATGTACGAGAAGGTTGATTAGAAGTACCACAAGTACAAGAGAAGTATTAAATGAGGCATTGCAGCAATTGGACAGCACTGTAGCTACTTTTATCAAAAGCCAGGTCACACAGGGACGCAGATATAGCTTAGAAGACAAATTGATGGGACTTATACTTCATAAACAAAGTGGTAGGGGATATCGAGCAATAATGCTCGATAATCAAAAATATTTGCTTTGCCCTCAAAAAAAAAACAATAATACAGCTATTAAACCGGATTCCCATCAATCCAGGTGTAAATGATGTGATTTTAAAGAAGAGAATACTTGCATACAAGAGAGCCATTAAGAACCATCCTCCGGGGTCTGCTAGACAAGCTAGCCGATATATTTCTTGATTTTTGTTTTTTTTTTTTGTTAGAGCGGGCCATGTAGTATAGATGTATAACATCTTAAGATTGCTCTATTTAAGCCTTAATTATTGTATATATTAGTTAGTCGATTGCTATTCATTGTTATATCTTTTTTTTGTATGTGTTTCTGCGCTGTGAGGTTGAGTGGTAGAGTAGCCAGCTGGATAAACTTCGCCTCGCAGTGAGGATGGATTTCTAAAGAAATTATTATTATTATTATTATTATTATATTTAGCTTTGTGAGAAAAGGTGATATAATTTGTATATAAATGATTGACCATAAAATGACTATAATTATTTCTTTAATTTTAATTCCTCCCTTCACATCCCCTGGAAAGATCTTCCACAAGCCATAAAATCGCTAAATGATGAGAAATTTAGAACACTGGTTAGGACATCTATCTTAGCAAAATATACCTAAAGTCGTTACGTTTACCTACCACTTAAAAAAATGTCATGTACATTTTGCTCCTTTCAAATGTAAAATTGTTATTTATATTTTATACACAATATCCTTACACAACTTAATTTTGATCATATCATTCCAACTTATTTTAGGTTTAATATTTTGCATTTTTTTGTTGTTGTGACTACGTGGCAGAACAGCACTATGCTAAACCTCGCCCCTAGGAAAGACGATTTATAATTTTTTTCCAAAGGGGTTGCCTTTACCTGATGGAAATCCATTTTACGTAATAAAAGCACTCCGAATGGTCCAATTTCTGCTCATTAATACGTGACGCGCGACTCACCCCAGCATTGGAGAAAGACACTGTGTGTCGAAATGCGCGTCATGTATTAATGACTAAGAAAGGGGAAATTAACCCATTTGGAGTGTTTTTGTTACGTAAGACGATTTATTATTAACAGAATGCAAAAAGCCCCATTTGGTTTGTCCTATTAAGATGGAAAGGCCCATTATTCAGCACTGGTGTGAGACCAATCCACCAGAGGTCGCAGAAATACGGTAACTTATTTTAGTATTGGAGTTTCCCATCTCTAGAAGGGTTTATCTCTGGTTTAGCTCGGCATTATACAGAGTGCTTCAAATTTGACCCCTTACCATTTTGACGTCACAAAACTGTAATGTTGCTTAAATGAGGGCACAGTTGCGCACTTAGGTAACTAACAAAATGCCTCTTACAGAGTTTCGAAATTGAAGATACTTCCGGAAAGAGACGAAAAAAAAGTGAATTTTCTCAAAGTCCTTTTTTTTCTTGACTTTATTCGGTATTTCAAAATGAATTGCACTTTAACACTCTTTCTTCTTTACAAGTTTATACAGGGTGACTTTGAAGTTGAGTTATTAATTTTCAGATAATGATTGTAGAAGGAAGATAAACCAGAATATGTGTGTAAAAATAAAAAAAAATTAAAAAAAAAATTTTACCTTGTTTTATAAAGTATCCTCCCGACAAGTATTTCAGTGCGGACCTGTATTTGATCGTGAGGTCCCCCGTGAGGTCTTAAGTCACCTGATTCACGAGCCCGTTGTACTACATTAACAAAGGCACGAGGGGTTGGTTGCACTCGATTGGGAAACCGATCCGCATAAACATGTGCCATTTTTTATTTCGTTTGAGCCACGCAACAGAAACTATTCACACGCTAACCGACAGATACTGACTGTATGTATAACTGAACTGAATAAAACACTTAATTGCAAAAACGTCGTTCCAAATTCTTTCGCTTTTTTGTTTCCGATGCGATGAACCGGTAAGGCGGATTATATCCGTTGTTGCCAAACACGAGTACATGATATTATTATTGAGACAGGGCGGTACTCAAACTTCCAAAGGGCTATAACTTTGTTACTTTAATTTTACCAGAAAAATGGTAAAGGAAAAAAACATGTCTTTTGATCAGATCTACTCACTGTTAAAATAAATGACTCAACTTCGAAGTCACCCTGTATAATCAAGATTTCAATATGACGCTTCGTCATATCTTTATTTTTTCTTATATACCACACATAGTATTGAATCTTTACACAAGTGGATGAAGCCCATAATTCTGATTCCAAAAATGTATAATATGTCGTACATTCACTTTACCAAACCTCAGTTATTTCAGAAAAACGTAATTTCCTAGGTAGGACTTGAAATTATAAGATAGTAATTTGTTTCGTATACCAGGACAAACCCCAGATTGTATATGAAGGATACAGGGGAAAATGATGAATTTTACAGAAGGTAAGTTTAGAGAAAAGTGCATTTAAAAGTCTGAAGACTCCCAGACACGTTGTAAAGGGTGAGTCAAGGATCTGACGGAGTACCGTAGATTCTTTATTATTTCATTCCTTTATTGGTGCTAAATGCATCTGCGTGCTTACACAGGTCAAAAGTGCAAATTCACAAAAAATTTATTCGAAAGAACAACATTAACAGAAAACTGTAAAAAACATCGCTTACAGAAAAACTGTAAAAAGATATTATGAATTTAAAATTTAGGGAAAATACTAAACTATAGAACAAGCACATCCGAACAAATTAACATACAGAGTAAAAGTAAACAGGCACACTACAACACCATCATTAGAGATCCGAAAAGTAATTACTTAAAAATTCTTCGATGTCGTAAAAAGCTTTCTTGATAAGGTACACTTTAATTCAGGACCTTAATGAGACGGTGCCAGATATTCTGAGTGCCGCAGGAAGAATGTTATAGCAGTGGATTCCATAGTAGTTAGAACCGTTTCTAATTTTTTGTAGACGATGTTTAGAAATATCTAACTTATGCATGCTACGTGTGTTGTAACTATGTACATTGCTGTGCATCTTGTATAGATCTAAGTTGTTGTGTATATAACAAAAGCAGACATATATATATACAGGGTGGCGCATCGAAAACGAAACAGATGCATTTACTGGCAGCTCAGTTTTTTTTTAGAAAAACGCTCAGACCCGTCGATATCTGTTGCTGAAGTAAGTTGACAAGAGCCTAATGCCATTACTATGGAACTTGTAATTGTAGAAGAATGTCATGCTGGACAGAATCGGAAGCCTTAGTAAGATAAAAAAAACTTAGCTAAGCAATGAGCACCACTTCCAGAAGCTGCATTTATTTTCTCAATGAAGCTGTCAATAGCTAGAGAAGTAGACTTATCTGATCTGAGATCGAACTGACTGTCAGTAAATAGTCTGTTGCTTTCAAAATAGTCAATCAGCTGATTTCACGTATCTGGGCAAGCAGTGGTATAATTGAAGTAAGTCCATAATTTCAAAGATCATTTTTAAAAAGGAGGATAACTTTCGGCAGTTTGAAAATATCAGGAAATATACCATTTGAAATAAACCAAATGAATAATTTTATTAATGGTATAATACTGAGATTTTGAATGGTTGTAATGATTTTCTCATTGAAACCAAAAACATCAAAACTATTAGATTTATTCAATTTATCTATCGCTGCCCTGACTTGATTGTAAGTAACCTCTTTAAAAATAAAACCTTCTGTATGAGTTACGTCATGCAAATGAGTTGAAGCTGAAGATGGCATTTGGTCTCCTAGATTATTTGCAATGTTAGTAGAATAAAGATTAAAGTCAGATGCGCTAAGCGTCGTGCTTGTGTGTTGGCTTTTCATTGGTTTGTTGTTTTTGATAACATTCCATACTGCTCGTTGTCTATTTTTAGCATTATTAGTATAACGATCATGCTTGCCTTTTGGCTTGCTTCATCGCACGCCTATATTCACACTTGTATAAGTTGGGATATTCTTTATTAACAATTTGAGGATGAGTTTTGTATAGTATAAGGAATTGAAAAAACAAGTTAAATTATAGATAGAAAAAAAATTCCAATATACACGGTCATACCAAACATTTTTTAATGGAAAATCCTATTTACTTTTGTATTTTGAGATTCTAATTTTGATTTTAAACATTTTTTATATGTTAGCGTGCATGCCTGAATTCAACTTTTTCTTAGATATTGTGGTTAGTAATGAGCTTTGCGTCATATGCGACATCCTGTAAAGTCTTAAGGTTGACTAACCAGCAGAATGGCTATCCAAGTTTTGTGATCTGTTCTAATATGAGAACAAACTTAACAGGAAATTTATTATACAGGGCCTAAAACGTGAGAAAAAGAAGACTTTCTAACCTCAATAGCTCAAACGCGGAATTATTTCTAAGTATTTTTCCAATTGGAGCAAGACAAAACAGTGAACCAACAAAACCTTTATTCAAGAGAATATACAGGGTGTAAGCTTTTTGGTAGTTATTATTGAAATTGGTAATAGGGTGGGTCAAAATAAGTCATAAAGTTCATATGACCCATGGTACAAAAGTCAATAGATTTTTGTCTGAATGGCTTTATAGTTTACAACTTTAAGTGATTTACACCGACCATTATCACCCATCATCCATTTAAATAATGACTATCATAACGTTTACGCCCTGTAGAACAAACAAAACAAAATTGATGCTTAACAGGTTGAATGCCACGACCGCCTGCAAATATCCTTACCATGCCATGGCGGTCGTATGCGGCCGCTCCACACTTGTCTTCAAAATCCATTTATGCTGTGCCAACGGCCATTCATAGGCATATAATTATTATGGCAGAAGACCGCCGTGGCATACAAGCCTAGCTTAAGTTAGCGGTTTTCGGTGTAGCTTACAAGGAAGCTGAAAATCTTGTAGTTTTGAACTTTTATTGAAAAATATAAATATTAAAAACATAAGCAAGGTGGAGGCCCGAAGAGTTTAGTACAAAATAAGGCTATTCAATATCTCGATCTGCATAAGGGGAATTTAATAAGTGTAGGTTGAAAAAGTCTAAACCAT